GCCACTAATTGCCTCTGTTGCACAACACGTATGTTGTTTTCCTTCTCTAGATCAACACTGCTCTACTTCAGAAGCACAATACTAAATTTTTCACTGGTGGCCGGCCAGCCACAGATGAGGGTTTGCCGGCCAACACTGAGGGGTTGCTGGCCATTGGAGGTGGCCTACCGGCCACTGATGAGGGTTTGCCGACCATTGAAGCCAAGTCTTTCCTTACTGCAACAGAGGACAAAACAGAGCAAGAAAGGGGTGGTCTCACAGGTTGTTTGTACCATGTATCCCTCCTTATATCAACACAAGCTCAAAGGAGTGATACACGTGGCCTTTAAACCATCAATCAAGCAATTTCCATGCATGATGGCTAAGAGACCAATTTGTACAAGTTCAATGAATGCAAAACAAGACTCAAATGCCATCACCCTATCATGCATGATCAAGGGCAACGGAGACCTAGGAAAGTGGCACATTTCATCCCTTTTGAGTATGAAATGTCCCATTTTCCTTGTGTTAAAATTAACGTCCGATTTGAACACATGCAATGCAACACAAAGAAATGCTTATCTTGCCACTTTTACTTGTCAATTTTGTTTACACATTTTAGTTACCAAATCATTCTTTAATCAATTTGTCCATTGGTGAGTGTCCTCTAAGATGAAAAGAAGTGTCAACCAAAGGATAATGTAAGGCAAGAGAGATATCATGCCGGTTATAATCAACCCTCAAAGAGGATTAAACTATTAAGCATGATCTCAATCTCAAGCTTAAAGGATCCCAAGCTTGGAATAACCCTCAAAAGAAAATGAAAGAGTGAAGCAAATAGGGAGGTTGCAGAGTTTATAGTGCTAAAATGGAATGAAAAACAACACCAAAAGATGCTATCAACTCAAACAAGAGGTGTCTAAGACCTTAAAACACTGCTTGTGAAGAGTAGTAGACTACAACCATGCAAAACAAGATTCAAATGAAGTAACCAGCCCAAAATAGAGCTAAAGTAGGCTATTTCAAAGGTTAAAACGTGCTGGACTGGAGCTAAGTTAAACTACAAAAACATGCTAACATATAAAGCTAACTAAGTATGCAAACAAGACACAAGGAGGGGAGGCTAACCCCTCCAAATTTGGACTTCAAAATGAACTTTTTTCCATTGAAAAACCTCTAAAATTCAGTGGTTAAAAGGCCCAAAAAATTTGGTTTGAAAGTGGTGAACAAAGGTACAAAAACTGTACAAACAAAGAAGTATGAAGGGTGAACCACCCCCTAACTGAAAATGGCCTCAAACCACCACCCTCAGTCCACAAAAATAGAGTTTTTTATAGTTCAAAATCAGCCCTAAAACAGCCCCAAAATAGTAGAAGAAGTTGGCAAAGCAAGTATGTAAAATAAGCTAACAAAGCAAGTGTTATACCTCTTGAAGCCAAGGCACAAATTAGGCAACAAAGCAAGCCACAACCACCTTCTAAAGCTCAAAGAGGGTCTCAAGTAACCTCAGCCCAAAGAGAAGCAACTTTGGTTAAGGGTTGATAGACAAAAGTGTAGATACACTAAGCAACTAAGCACAAAATTTCAATAGAGAGAGAATTTTGTAGAGAGAGAGAGAGAGAAGTAACCCCTACAAAGGGGGAGAAGGTCCCGTATTTATAGAAAAACAAGCTTTCAACTGAGTTAAATTAGTCCATACAGGTGTATGGTGATCAATCCCATTGTGCCAACAGTTGGAACAGTTGTCAAGAAAATAACTAAAAAAAGGCATCAGTGGCCGGTGGGCCACCAATGATGGCCGGCAGGCCACACCACTGGCCAACAAGGCATAGTGGTGGCCAGCAAGGCACACAAGGGGGCTGGCAAGGCACACAAGGTGGCTTGTTGGTCCCAAGTGTTCAGGTTTGAAGAACTGGAGTTTTGGGTGTGAAAAACTAAGGTTTTGGTCCAAAACAAGGCACAAAATGGACACGGTTTAAAGGCTCAAAGGCAAGGCATTCCGCCCAGGTCTTCGAACACTATAAACGAGCACATGCAATCATAATCATCGAGTGTACACGCGATGACGTCCAAGTCTTGAGGACGATCAAAAATGGGGTGTCTACAGCAACGAAACCAACTTTAAATGCTGGACTGTGTGGTGAAAGAGTGGAAAGGCCTTCAGGTGTGTTGTACTCTAATCAGCATGAGCACTACTATGCATGTGTCATCAATTTCTGTGGTTTGCTCAATTTCTCTAATTTTCTATGTTTTGAAATTTGTCTAAATCAAAATTTCTCTATGTTTTCAAAAACAAAACGAAACAATTCAACTTGCACAACCAAATACACTTAACTAATCTTTCCAAAACATCATAACTATCATTGGAATCACGACCAAGTACATTGATATGATTGACAACAACATTCACTTAAAAAAACAAAAGCAAAATTAACAAACACAGACAAAGAGACAGAGAGTAAAAGCGGGCTTAGGCTTTCTCCCAGATATAAGCAACCCTAGGGTTGTCCTTTTCGACCTCATTAGCAATATGACTAATGCAACCCACACATTATGTATTTTATAGGCTCGGCTATTAGCATGGTATATGATTTCATTCAAGACATGCGATAAAACACATATTCGAGTAATGAATTTGAACATTGATATTGAGTTAGCATCATGAGCCGAGCCTTGGATGCATGCAAGACAATGGCTGCAAAGCATAAGAATGCTAATTTGAAAAATGATATCGTATACTAACCATCGTAAGCAAGTAAGTAAAAGGGAGAAAGATGTGGGGTTGGAAGACATACAACTTATTACATAATTTCCCTCATGCAAAAGGGTGCGAATCAAAGTCCGAAAGTCCGAATTAAACTAATTATTACAAAACCAAATGAATAAATTAAAGAATTAACTAGCTAGCTACTCTATTACAACAAGTATAATAATGAGAAATAAACTAGCTATCTAAGTTAATTAGTTATAAGAATTACAACTAAACAATAATAATAATAACAATCATAACAATAATTACAACAAGACTAATTGTAACAATAATAATAAATTACTTACAACAATACTCAGAGCATTAATTTACAACAATAATACAAGCAAGGATGTGCAAGGGTTGCATGCACAGTGTCCAAGAACAACTCATCATACTAATTTCATAGTATTTCAATTCCAACTTGAATACGTGTATCGAGTTGTCGCATTTCACATGCCATTCTTAGATTAGACGAGCCTATTCTAGTTGCATTTTGCATGTGCTGCATTAGCCATCTTAAACATGAACTAGGATCATGCATGATTTCTAACCAGCTATTGTTTTGGCTCAGAGTACTAGGTAAGTGTTTACGCTTTAGCATACTGCATGTGTGTTAATGTTACCATGAAAGCATGCTTGCCATGAGGCTAACTGCTTATATGATATAACTGCCTGAATGCCTGTGGATGGAGGTTAGATTACTTAAATTGGAACAATTCATTGAAATGCGAGTTTTAAGCCCACTTGATTGTGACAAAATCATGTTTTCTAAGCCCACTTGAGGGTGGCAAATCCACGTCTTAGCCTACTTATGAGTAGCACCTTCAAACCGCTTTCAAAAATAAACATGAGATGTTTTGTTCCAACTTAGGCAATCCAATCTATACTTGTATGCTGTGCACATCACATAGTAATTCTAGGCTAATACACCGAAATAAGAACACATATGTTTTCAAAACAAAATATCATGTTTAGTATAGGCCGATCTTTGATCGGGCAAGCGGGGGTGCTCATAGATGACCTTCCCCAATCGTACCCAAGTTCCCGAGCCGAGGCAACTTTGGTGATGACGAACAATGGCCTTAGGCAACGAGTCAGGGTTTCCTAAATTCCCCCAAAATAAATATTTAGGTGGCGACTCTATATCTGGCAAAGCAGTCCATGTTTGACACTTCTTTCTTAAAAATCAGTTTTCCAAAACGATTTGCCGGATTTGGACTCTTTGGTGATTTATCAATCTCACATCACACATTGTGAGATCAGATTAAGAACCGTGACAAGTGAGTCCGAACTGTAGCATGAGGCCCTCGGGGCGTGTCTACATAATCTCAAACCCTAAACCCTAAACCCTAAACCCTAAACTCCAAATCCTAAACCTTAAACCTTAAACCCTAAACCCGAAATCCTAAAATCCCTAAATGCTAAATCTAAAATCGTAAATCTAAAATCCTAAACCCTAACCTCTAAACCCTGAACCTCAAACCATAACCTCTAAACTCGAACCCCTAAACCCTAAACTCTAAAAAACCTAAAACCTAAACCCTAATAAACCCTAAATCCCAAACCCTAAGCTCTAAGCTCTAAACTCTGAACACTAAATCATCAGCCCTCAACCCTAAATCCTAAATCCTAAATTCTAAAACTCTAAAACCCTAAACCCTAAAATCTAAATCCTGAACCCCAAAATCCTAAACCCTTAAACCTTTAACCCTAAACCCTAAACACTCAAAAATCTTAAACCCAAAACCCTCAACTCTCAACACTAAACCTTCAACCTTAAACCCTAAACCTTAGATCACAAACCCTAAATCTTAAATCTCAGATTGCAAGCCTAAAATTCTAAATCTTAAATCCTAAACCTTAAACTCCAAGTCCTCAATCCAAAACTCCAAATCCCAAATCCTAAACCTTAAATTCTAATTTCCAAAACTCAAATCTTAAATTCCAAATTCTAAATCATAAATCCTGAACCCCAAACCTTTGTCTTATTAGTTGTAAGATTAAAAAATTTTATCAACTTTTTTTTTTTTTAATAAAATGACAATTAGAATCTAACAAAAATGCTTTAGAACTCTAATATAAGAGCTCTAATAGCTCTAATGGGAAGGTGAGACCCACCCTAATGTGATATTTGTGTCTTGTTTTGTTTTTTTTACTTTAACACATCACTAAAACTCAAATTAAAGTTTCAAATTTAAAGCTCTCTAGCATTTCCCTAGAATCTAATAAGTCCGGTCCAGTCCGATCCATAAGGTAATAAGCATAAAAGGCCCAAGCCCCTAGCCCAAGTTCAATATAACGACAAAACCCAGAGGATCTTCTGCTTCTTCTTCTTCTTCTTGTTTCAACTGCCTTACCTTAGATTCGGTTTGAACGAAGAACCAGAGATCCCAATGGCTCTCCTCCATTATTGCTCTTGTTCAGCTCCCCCTTCACCACCACCCCCTCTTCTTCAGTTCAAAAAATTGACCTCCAATTCCCTCTTTTTTACGGTCCCTGCCCTCCGCCGCCGTTTTGGGCAGAACCGCCGCCTGTCTCCGACGCTGAACGCTAGTCTCGCCGTCGAGTCTCCTTCCACTTCAGGTGAAGACCGCGGCGGCGACTCTCCGAAGCTCCTCCTGGAGGTTAATTCTCTCTCCGCCGTGATTGCTGAATCTAAGCAACCGATTCTCAAGGGTGTAGACCTAGTCATCTATGAAGGAGAGGTCTCTAATTGCTTATATATGCTAAAAAAATATATACATATATGTATTATCAATTCAATTTTTGATTGCAACACTTGTTATGTAACATATTTGATATCTTGGTAGAAAATTTGGTATCAATTTGAACAATTGATTGCAACACTTGTTAATTTTGAATTCATCTGAGACTTTTGTCGTGATCGTGATGCTTTAATTTGTGATAGTGCTTAATGGGTATTCTAGTGTTTGTTTCATTAGAACCCGAGTGGAATGGAATCGAATAGTTATTTCCTGGCATTCTTATTGAATGACCATTTTTCATTTTTTTTTTTTTTTTGGTTGTAAAAATTCACTTTTGTCCTTTCGAACTGTCATATTTGTGTCACTTTTACCTCCTTAACTATCAATTTGAACAATTATCCCCTTAAACTGTTGACATTGGTTCATTTGACCCCCAATTAGTTGGTGAGGTTAATACACACGTGAATATATGAGAGTATTGTACAACAAAAACAATCAATTCTTTTGCAAATATATTCAATAAAATGCAGTGCAAACCAATTATAGGAAAGTACTGCCTTCGGATACAATCAAATTAAGCATTTCACGTTCACAAATATTTTTATGTGCCGGCAAGTGTGGTGATATTTTGTCAAAAATATTTGACTCTGTTGATTGTTTGGGTAATTGTTTAAGGGTGTAATTGTTCAAATTGATACTTTATGGGTTAAGTGACACAAGTGTGATAGCTTGAGCAGGCGAAGTGAAGTTTTCCATTTCTTTAGCGAATCAAATGTTAGAATGGACATTTTAATGGATTGATATAACCAACCACTGATCTAGTGATCCCTTGTTTAATTTTCTGCAAGTGTAATGTGTTAGCTCTAATACTGGTTAGTTGTTTAATTCCAATAGGTACATGCAATCATGGGGAAGAACGGTTCTGGGAAGAGCACTTTTGCAAAGGTTGGTGCTTACAATTCTGCCATATGAAATTACTTAACAAATAAAGATGTACTTAATGATGTTCATATTCCATGGAACCAAATTGATTTTTCTTAATTTACCTTCCATGTTTATTTGTAAGAATAAAGATCCCACATGCATCATTTAATTGTTTTCAGATATGTAGATATGCCCCCTTTAAAGGATTTTTATTTTTTATTTTTATAAAAAAAATTAAAATTAAAATTTGATGGATGTGATATATACGAGCATTTGCTCTATATATGCTCATTTTAGAAGGTAATGGTTTCTTTGATTAGCAGGTGTATAGTTCTTGACAATTGTCCTTTTCATTGCCTGAATAAGTTTCTTTGCTAGTTCTTGCTTTCTTGACCAAAACTCTTAGTGGCGCATTATTGTTGTAGGTCCTTGTTGGTCATCCGGATTATGAAGTTACGGGGGGCAGTGTTGTTTTTAAAGGTGAGAATGTGCTTGAAATGGATCCAGAGGAAAGGTCTCTTGCTGGAATTTTTATGAGTTTCCAGTCTCCAGTTGAGATCCCTGGTGTGAGCAATATTGACTTCCTGAATATGGCTTACAATGCTCGAAGAAGAAAACTTGGTCTGCCAGAGCTTGGACCAATTGAGGTTTGTAGTAATTATCTGCTACTTTAAAACTTCATCTTATTATTGATTGGTCAGACCCTGCATTCTTTCACATGCATCTCTTTTATCTTTTGATAGGAGACCATAAATAATTTATTAGAGAAACAAAAGAATGAGTTGCAAATGAAAAAAAAAAAAAAACAAAAGAAAAGAAGAAAGAAAAAAACGACAATCACTAAATTAAGGAAATAAAACAAGTTACAACAATCCAAAGATGCAACTCTCAAAACTCATAGAAAAGGAAAAGGAAGAAAAAAACAAGAAACAAAAAATGTCTCATGGAGGATTTTTTTTTTTTTTTTTTAATGTGAGAATTTTCTAAAGCACAAACACAAACAACAACACAAAGCCAGGGCATTCCCAAAGCTAACAAATACATCATAAGGAAGTATTTCCGTGAAGGATTCTAGGGGAGAAACCCCAAGCACATATTAGAGTCCTAGAGGTCTGGTTATTCTCAATGTTATTCCAAGAAGCAACTCTCCATCTAATGTCCTCTATCAAGTTGCTAAGAAGATCAACTACAGGCTTTGGTTTGGTTTGGAACAATCTGAAATTTCTCTCCTGCCATATATGATAGACAGCAGCACAAAGAGAAAGCTTGAGCAGCTTGTGTTTAAAACTCTTGCCTTTCCTATTTTGCACTGCCCAGGAAATAATCTGATACATATCCATACTTAGATTAGGCACACCATTCAAGCTTAAGACACTCCTCCAAAGGCTACTTGCATAGCTACATTGAAAAAATAAATGTTCATGATTTTCATTAGCAAAATTGCGAAGCGAACAAGTCATATTTTGAGTAAGGCCCAACTCCACCAAGGATGGCCAACCAGCAAATAAATGACCAGTTGGGAACATTTAAGGAAAACCATACAACCTTAGACCAGTGTACCACCGGATGATGAGTTCTAACAGTATGCCAAGCTGATCTTATAGAAAAAAATACCATCAGAGCTAGGTGTCCATCTTAGATGATCATCTTTGCTACAATCAAGCATCTCATTAGCAGGAATTTGATTAACAATCCCTGCCATGACACCATTAAGCCTTCTAGGCCAATTCCAACCTTCATTGCTAATCATGCTACTCACTTTTGTATGCATATTTCTAATTAGATTATGGCCATGGTTGCTGCCAAATCTGTGATAAAGAGGCCCAAGTGGGTGCAAGGTATCATGCTAGAGATATGTGTTCTTGCCTATGAAGCACGGGTACTCCAAAAATAGTGGCGTACGAGTACTAGGTACTTACTAGGTGCAATTACGCCGAATACATGTCGGGTACGGTATGGGTACGTCGTGGGTACTGCACCGGTACGGTGAGGTGATTTTTTTTTTTCCTTTTTTTTTTTTTTTTTTTTCAGCTATTAGAATTTGTTGTAGCCTTTATTATTCTTCTTTCAATTTTGAAAATATCAAGTAATTTATTTCCAACACCCTTTACCCATGAGTCATGGTTTTGCTCTCATTTGCATCCTGTTTTAGACAATCAAAAAAGAAAAAGAAAAAATTATATAACTTTTTAAATAAGCTGTTCGCTTTTTAATTTTGATATTGAAATTTTGATTTGTATGTTGGATGTTTAGCTATGAATTAAAAATATATATTAAAAAATTAAAAAAAAAATTGACGTACCCTAGCTGTACCTGTACCCTATTTTTTTAAAGAATTTTCCGTATCATACCTATATTCGTACCCGCACCCGTGCTTCATAGGTTCTTGCCATTCCCTATAACAGATTTGATATAAGACCTGACAATGTCTCTCAATTTAAACATCTTCCTCACTGTCCAAGAACTATCAATAGGAGTCTTCATGTGCCACAAACTCTGGTCTTTGATAAAATTAGTGTGAATCCACTTAATCCGTAACACATCTGCCTTCATACACAGGGCCCATAACTGTTTAAGGATTGCAGTTCTATTCCACTGCAACACAGATTTAAGACCAAGGCCTCCTTCTTCCTTTAGGCAACAAAGAGCAGCCCAGCTGACTTTAGGGGCTGATTTACTAATATCTGAACCAGACCACAAGAAATTCTTCGTTGCACTCTCAATATCTTTAATAATTTTCTTAGGAAGAATGAAAATGGTGGACCAATATGCCTGAATCCCAAAGAGCGCTGATTGAATTAATTGGATTCTACCACCAAAAGAGAGTAACCTTGTATGCCAACTATGTATCTGATTCAACATTCTGTCCTTCAAAGGAAAACAATCTTGAACTTGAAGTTTAGAAGATGTCAAGGTACACCTAAATCTTTACTGGAAAGTGCCCTTCTGGAATTCACATCAATTCTAGCAATTCAACCTTAAATTGATCATCCACCCCACTGATAAACATAGAGCTCTTTTGCAAATTTGGTTGGATGCCGGACATCTTATGAAATTCATGCAACATTTTCTGAATCAACTGCAATGAATACCTGTCAGCTCCACTAAATAGGAACCATTCATCTGCAAAAGCAAGGTGCAGAATGCCCAATTCTTTACACCTAGGATAATAATAAAAGTACCAACAGCAGCTCTATTATGAAGGAGACAATGAAAACTTTCCATGACAAGTAAGAATAGATAAGGAGACATAGGGTCACCCTGTCTAATCGCCCTTAGCTGGAAAGTAATCAACAAGCTCCCCATTAATCACTACTGAGTACATGACTGAAGAGATACATTCTTTAACCCAATTAACAAACTTTTGGGGAAAATCCATAGCAACCATTGTATCAAGAAGAAAGTCCCATGCAACTGAGTCATAAGCATTCATAAGGTCAATCTTCAACATACATCTACCAGGCCCCTTACTTTTATGAAAACCTCTAGCTAGCTTTTGCATCATAAGAACATTATCCACTATGTAATGTACCTTCCCTTAATGAAGCTGATTGGGATGAATTGATTAGAACAGGCATCACTTTTTGCAATCTGCTGGATATTATTTTTGCAATTCACTTATAAAGTAATATTGTAACAAGAGATTGGTCTAAAATCTTTGACAGTGATGGGGGACTTTACTTTGGGAACCAAAGATATAGCAGTGCTATTCCATGCTTTATGCATTGAACCAGTATGAAAAAATGACTTCACAGCAGTCTTTACATCAGACCCCACAATATACCAATTAGCTTGGCAAAACCTTGCATTATACCCATCTGGAACTGGAGCTTTCCCCCCCTAATGCTGAACATAGCAGTCTTAATTTTATCATCAGTGACAGCCTTAATGAGATCAGTTCTGGAACAGTGCTGTACTTTGGGTAAACCCAGACTTTGGAAAGCATCTAAATCTGTGTATCTACTGGAAAAAGCTGAACCCAACAACTGCTTATAGAAATCAATAATCTTTTTGATAGAATCATGGTCTTCCGATAAAACCCCATCTCTACTCTGAACTAACTTGTTGGTGCATAACTTTTTATGAAAGTAACTAGTATTTTGGTCACCCAACTTGAGCCATTGCACTCTAGATTTTTTCCTTTTAAAAGACTCCTCAGCAAGGCTTAGTTCTGCATACTTAGAGAGTAACTCAGATCCAACCTTCACTAGGTTATCATTGAGAATAATATCTGTATTCTGACTCTGAAATTGCTCAAGATTAGCTTTTGCTTCTGCTACTCTCTCAGAGATATCAGAAAAATGAGCACGATTAAGCTTCCTCAAGATGGGTTTTAGCCTTTTCAATTTGAATTGCAAAACCTGCATGGGGGAACCACTAGTAGGAAGCAGCCAGGACTGAGTTAATAAACCAATAAAAGTTTTATGTAACATCCAAAAATCAAAGGATTTGAAGATTTCCTCATGACATGGTCTTTAGAAATGGACACAACAAGCAGACAATGATCAGAAGAAATACCAGGATGAAGGGCCACAGCTTCAGAATTTGGAAACAACTCCAGCCATTTCGGATTAATGCAGAACCTATCCAGCCTGCTTTTCGTGCTTCCCATACCATCCTGCTTACTAGACCATGTAAACCAGGCACCTTTGGTAGCAATTTCAGTAGCATCAATATCATTGAGACAATAGTTAAAATCACCAACTGGACTTGGATCCCAACAATACCATCCATCCTTTGAGAAAAATGTCCAACAACATTGAAATCACCTAAAATAATCCAGGGCTTATCATCCACCATATATTTGAGATTCCTCAAATCAGACCATGAGCTCCTCCTAACAGTAGGACTATTAGAACCATAAACAACGGAAACATAAAAGGACTCTTGACAAGAACTCATTTGTGCTAATACTGTAATAGATTGAGGAGAAATACCAACAGGCAAGACCCTCAAGGTTAGAGAGTTCCATAACAAAAAAATTCTAGCAACACCCTGATTCTCAAAATTATGAAGAAAGGACCATTTAGAAGGTAAGAAAGGACCATTAGGTCCCCTAATATTCCGTACTCCTAACTTCATTTATGAGAACAAACTCCACCCCCTTTACCCTTAGGTTTCCTCCCCCGAGGCTTAGCTTTAACTTGTTCCAACACCAGAGGGTTGGAAGAATTCCCACTAGAACTATGACTATGACTATCACCCTCCACACATACATCAATAGGGGAAAGAATGTAGAGAAAGAATCTTATCATTTTGCATACACTGATCTGGAAAACAGCTCTGCCCTGACTTAGAACCTTCCTGAACAGATGAACAGCTTTTATCAGAACCTCATTAATAGTTGGAACAACCTCTTCTACCTGGGCCTTATCCATCAGAGGACTAGACCATTCCACATTCACAGTACTGCCCTCAGAAGAGGCCACCTTTGTTGTCATTGGCAATATGTACCTTGGGTAGTTGATCAGACTCCTCTGCTACATTTTCCAAGATGGAAAACATATTGCTAACTCCAGCGGTACTATTGTTATGTAATATGGGAGCCAGAAGATGCAGGGTGACTGACAACATTTTTACCTTTGTCTTGCTGTACAACCCATTCAGCTTTCACGGCCTTGTCATTAGCACAAGAATTTTTCTTACATTTAAGCTCACTATGGCCAAAAACATGACAAGAAGAGCATTTCACTATGGCTCATGAAGGATTGAAGTGGCCTGTGGGAGAGTTGGAGCTAGACGCCTCCCATGAAGAATAAATTCAAAGTTCCTCCTTCACACCATACTTATCGTGATGTTTCACTGGATCTAGAAGCATGACGCTCATGCTAATGCTAATGCTAAGAATATGTTTGGCTTTTATTTGTCGGGCCAAGAACGTTGGTAATTTATGGAACTTGTACCACATCTTGGCTCAAGTCTCCGCCTGAACTTGGACTGTTGAGCACCTTCTTTTCCCATTTCTCTATTAAAAAAAAATGCCTTTAATTTCTAAATAATTGTTAAAAAAAAAAAAAAAAAAAATCTCTTTCGTTTTTCTCATTTTTTGTTACACAGGATGATATATTCTGTTACATGTGTACGCATGCCTTAAAATAATGGAGTATTGAACTTGAAATAATGCATTGACAAATCTTTCATACAATAAAATTGTTTTTGTAGCTTTATTGTGCGAATATACCTTCTTTGGACATGCTATAACGTCATATGATATGATAATATGCAGTTCTTTCTGTACTTTTTCTCGTCCATTAAAATGTTTGATCTTGAACTCAGTTACTTGATCAAGAATATGTGAGACAAAGGCTCCGAACTATGTTGCAGTCATTTCTTTTTTGTTATGCCATGCTCTAGAACATACATTAATGGTAGTAGAGTGTGATTGGATGGTTTTTTATTTATATTTTTATTGTCTTCCTACTGTGTCTCTATTACTAATTCTGAAAGGAACCATGACAGCTATGTTACATTTGTGAATATTTGTTCCTTTTCTCTCAATTATATGATTCAATCAATGTGAACAACTACAATTTATTAGAGTACATACTATGTATTCTTCATTATCACATGAAATCTCTTGCATATAGAAATTGGGCTAAAGCTGAGGGCTTCATTTGTTTCATTAATTTACTAATTGCATATTCTCCTTGCTGTTGGGCTTCATTTAGTTAATTCGCTGATAAAGTTTTTTCCTTGCAGTTCTATGGCTTCATCTCTCCCAAGCTTAATCTTGTAAATATGAAAGTAGATTTCTTAAATAGAAATGTTAACGAAGGATTTAGCGGTGGTGAAAGGAAACGCAATGAGATTTTACAACTTGCGGTATTAATTTATTTTACCTGTATTTGGTTCCTTGTGTGTTACTGACCTAAAAAAGTAGTGTTCTTTTCCTTTTTTTTGGTTTTCCACTAATTTACTGTGCTATTGGAATGTGATAATGGATTTGTAAGTGCTGCAAATGGGTTCCCTTGTCTGAATTGGACTGTCAATGCATAACCAAGATTACATGATTCACGTAAGAATAATTTAGTTGTGTTTTCTTACCTATAACCTGGCACAGGTTTCATCTTGATCAGATGATGGTAAGATAATGTGGGAATTCTTGCTTTACTTAAAACAACTATGGACTGGTGGTTGAAATGGCTTGAATAGAATTTCTTTTGCTGATGTAAGTTAGTTAGGATTAGGCACTGTCTAGTGTCTAATTGATACATTGAAGCAGCAGCTTCTGAATTCAGATTGAAGAAAATGGAATTCCAAGATAGCCTTTCTTAGTATTATTTTGTAATGGTCTATAGGTGAAGCACATACTTACTCTTTTTTTTTCCCTAAACAATTTATTTTGCTCCAATAGCATTATTCTCTTACTCAACACCATATAAGCAGAACTGGGTCAAGTACACTAGCTTAATGTTTCCACTGCATAATTAAATTTAAGTTTCTTCTTTTTCTTTCTTTTCCTTGCTTTTCTCTCTCTGTCTCGGTGTATATCGGTACTACATACGCTCTGCCATTGTGGTGTTTGTGGACTTAAATTGCTAAGTAAATGTGACACTAAATGCAAGTATTTCAAAATTTGCCCTTTATGTGACTTTGCTAGTATGTATTGCAGGTTCTAGGTGCTGAATTGGCTATGTTAGATGAAATTGATTCTGGGCTAGATGTTGATGCACTTCAAGATGTAGCTAAAGCAGTCAATGGGCTTTTGACTCCCAAGAATTCTGTCTTGATGATCACTCACTATCATCGCCTTTTGGAATTCATTAAGCCCAATTATGTTCATATTATGGTGAGCAAGTTGTTAATACCACAATAGAAAAGGGTAGAATCGAAATCAACTATCTAATTCACTATTGCATTTATTAGGAGAAATTAGCTATTACATTTAAATTCCATTTAAGAGGCCATGCCATTTTTGTGTTAGTGTATTCAGTGTTGTTATGCCTCTATTTTGGATGATGGATTTGTGATCAGTTTTCATGGATGACAAAATGGGGTTATTTTATTACAGTGAACCTTCAAAGCATGCACTGGATACATCTCATAGGTTATAATAATTGTTAGGATGTGCTTGAACCCATATCTCAATTCCAAAGGGGGAAAAAAAAAAAAATTGTTAAATCAACTGCCAGTGCCAGCTTTGTGATTTTGCAAACTGTCGGATCTGTTGGTGTATTTTTTGGGGTTTTAATTAACTATGTCAAGACTTTTGAATTTGGAAGGTATGCTTTTGAATAAGTCTATATGTGGTTTGTCCTTAATGTTTAGTGGCTAACTGATCGTTCTTTCTTGTCATGTTTTTACCATCTTTTGAACTGAACTCTTGATATATTCCGCCTTCGAAGCACATAATTTGTATTGTCGTCAATCAAATTCCATCATCTACACTTTAATAGGGAATTGTGGAAACTTTAGGTAAGTTTTTTAATTGCATCTTCATTCTTTTGGTTTGATTCAGAAATAATCATTTTCTTGTAGGAGAATGGAAGAATTGTGGAAACAGGAGATGTGTCGGTAGCAAAACGTGTTGAGAAAGAAGGATATAAAGCAATGTCTACCACATAAAACTGCAGGACAGTAAGTATTGTTACTCTCTCGTTTTACATTTGTTCTTGTTTCCGGTCATCGTTAAGCCTTGGGTTTACCGTATTAGATCTTTCAGTTTAAAATTTGCAACCTCTCTTTTTCATCATTTGTAGGGTCATAAATCAACAATTGATTCAATGAACAATGGAGGCAAGACATTTAAACCCCAGTTCTGAGTTGCTTGTGTTTTAATATAAGTTTTTTTGATAATCAAATAAGCCCACGTTAAGGAAAGATGAATCCATTTGGCTTTGACAAGGAAACCCTGGAATTGTATAATGTCCTCACTGCTTATCCAGTTTTGGCCTAACAAGGAAGTACTTGCACACCTTCAATGTTATGGTCATATAATTTTGTTTTGGCAAGTAACATTTGTTATGAGAAGACTATTGGTATTATTGTTCATCAAATAATGTGGATAAGACTTCATCTAGTTGTGATATGATATGAGTTTGAGATATGTGTTCTTAAGCATTGCCTAATCCTATGTACAGATCTTCTATATTGCTCCACTGTTGAGCCAAACCTGAGAACATAGAGGCTGTTTTACCCTCAATGAATCGGACTGGGGCGGGGAGAATCTGAAACTTTTCATCCGTGGATTAGAATCTATGAATGATCTTTTTCAAGTTTGTCAATTTTCTTGCGATGCCTTATTTCTACCTCCGGATGTTCTCTTTCAGCATCTTTCTCATCCTCCCTTTTCAAGCGACGTTGCTGCCATTGCTTTCTCAACAGTATCTCTTAGTTCTGAAATTTGTCCAAAACAACAATGATATACTTTTTTGGGGTGGATAACATTGATATACATAAATTATAATTTTAAAAGGAAAATATTTGATAAATAGGAAATGAGAAAAATCATTGTAATAGTGGAGTGTAAATGAGAATAATGTGGTTTGTGATAGTATTTCACTAATCGGATTGCTTCAGTTTTAGCCGGGACCAATATCTTGTTTTCTTTGTTTTTTTCTTTCTTTTTTTAATCAATAAGAGAATAATTACAAATATGAGAAATATTTACATCATCAAATAGGTTATTAGTCTACGAAGAAAAATAGAAGTTGAATAAAAATAGAAATGGAAACTGCATAAAATTAAATATGGAAGTTCATTCAAGAAACCGCTATACCTTAACGATCTATTCGAAAATTAAATAAAAAAGGAAAATGAATAGAAAATGAAATTGAATAAAAGTGGAAGTTGAATAAAAAAAAAATAGAAGTGGCTTAAAATTAAAAATAGAAGTCTATTCAAGAAACCACTATACCTTAACGATATATTTGGAAATTGAATAAAAAAAGGAAATTGAATAGAAACGAAAATTGAATAAAAATAGAAGTTGAACAAAAATAAAAATGAAAGTGCATTCAAGAAACCACTATACCTTAACGATCTATTTGGAAATTAAATAAAAAAAACGAAATTCAATAGAAAAGGAAGCGGAATAAAAATGGAAGTGGAATAAAAATAAAAATGGCAGTTGCATAAAATTAAAAATGAAAGTTCATTCAAGAAACCACTACACGTTAAAGATCTATTTGAAATTAAATAAAAAAGGAAATTCGATAGAAAAAGAAATTGAATAAAAATGGAAGTTGCATAAAATTAAAAATGGAAGCTCAATCAAGAAACCACTATACATTGACGATCTGTTTGGAAATTAAATAAAAAAGGAAATTGAATACAAAAGGAAATTGAATAAAAATAGAAGTTGAATAAAAATAGAAATGGAAACTGCATAAAATTAAACATGGAAATTCATTGAAGAAACCACTATACCTAAACGATCTATTTGGAAATTCAATTAAAAAGGAAATTGAATGGAGATGGAAATTTAATAAAAGTAGAAGTGGAATAAAAATAGAAATGGAAACTGCATAAAATTCAATATGGAACTTCATTCGTGAAACCACTATACCTTAACAATCTATTTCGAAATTAAATAAAAAAGGAAATTGAATGGAAAAGGAAATTGAATAAAAATGGAAGTTGAATAAAAATACAAATGGAAGTTCCATAAAATTACAAATGGAAGTTCATTCAAGAAACCACAATACCTTAACGATCTATTTGGAACTTAAATAAAAAAGGAAATTGAATGGAGATGGAAATTGAATAAAAATAGAAGTTGAATAAAAATAGAAATAGAAACCGCATAAAATTAAACATGGAAAGTTCATTCAAGAAACCACTGTACCTTAACGATCTATTTGGAAATTAAATAAAAAAGGAAATTGAATAGAAAAGGAAATTGAATAAAAATGGAAGTGTAATAAAAATAAAAATGGAAGTTGCAAAAAATTAAGAATGGAATTCCATTCTAGAAGCCACTACACCTTAACGATCTATTTGGAATTAAACAAAAAAGGAAATCGAACGGAGATGGAAATTGAATAAAAATAGAAGTTGAATAAAAATAGAAATGGAAACTACATAAAATTAAACATGGAAGTTCATTCAAGAAACCACTATACCTTAACGATCTATTTGGAAATTAAATAAAAAAAAGAAATTGAATAGAAAAGGAAGCTGAATAAAAATGGAAGTGGACTAAAAATAAAAATGGAAGTTGCATAAAATTAAAAATGGAAGTTCATGCAAGAAACCACTACACCTTAACGATCTATTTGAAATTAAATAAAAAAGGAAATTCAATAGAAAAAGAAATTGCATAAAAATGGAAGTTGAAATTGAATAAAAATGGAAGTTGCATAAAATTAAAAATGGAAGCTCAATCTAGAAACCACTATACATTAAAGATCTGTTTGGAAATTAAATAAAAAAGGAAATTGAATACAAAAGGAAATTGAATAAGAATGGTCGTGGAATAAAAATAAAAATGGAAGTTGCATAAAAGTAAAAATGGAAGTTCATTCAAGATACTACTACAACTTAACGATCTATTTGGAAATTAAATGAAAACGGAAATTCAATAGAAAAGGAAATTGAATAAAAACAGAAGTTGAATAAAAATAGAAGTGGAAACTGCATAAAATTAAACATGGAAATTCATTGAAGATACCACTATACCTAAACGATCTATTTGGAAATTCAATTAAAAAGGAAATTGAAAGGAGATGGAAATTTAATAAAAGTAGAAGTGGAATTAAAATAGAAATGGAAACTGCATAAAATTAAATATGGAACTTCATTCCTGAAACCACTATACCTTAACAATCTATTTCGAAATTAAATAAAAAAGGAAATTGAATGGAAAAGGAAATTGAATAAAAATGGAAGTTGAATAAAAATACAAATGGAAGTTGAATAAAATTACAAATGGAGGTTCATTCAAGAAACCAAAATACCTTAACGATATATTTGGAAATTAAATAAAAAAAGCAATTGAATGGAGATGGAAATTGAATAAAAAAAGAAGTGGAATAAAAATAGAAATGGAAACCACATAAAATTAAACATGGAAGTTCATTCAAGAAACCGCTATACCTTAACGATCTATTCGGAAATTAAATAAAAAAGGAAAATGAATAGAAAAGGAAATTGAATGAAAGTAGAAGTTGAATAAAAACAAAAATAGAAGTTGCAAAAAATTAAAAATGGATGTCTATTCAAGAAACCACTATACCTTAACGATCTATTTGGAAATTGATCAAAAAAAGGAAATTGAATAGAAACGAAAATTGAATAAAAATAGAAGTTGAATGAAAATAAAAATGGAAGTTGCATAAACCTAAAAATGAAAGTTAATTCAAGAAACCACTATACCTTAATGATCCATTTGGAAATTAAATAAAAAAAAGAAATTGAATAGAAAAGGAAGCTGAATAAAAATGGAAGTTGCATAAAATTAAAAATGGAAGTTCATTCAAGAAACCACTACACCCTAAAGATCTATTTGAAATTAAATAAAAAAGAAAATTCAATAGAAAAAGAAATTGAATAAAAATTGAAGTTGCATAAAATTAAAAATAGAAGCTCAATCAAGAAACCACTATACATTAACGATCTGGCTGGAAATTAAATAAAAAAGGAAATTGAATACAAAAGGAAATTGAATAAAAATGGATGTGTAATAAAAATAAAAATGGAAGTTGCATAAAATTAAAAATAGAAGTTCATTCAAGATACCACTACAACTTAACGATCTATTTGGAAATTAAATAAAAAAGGAAATTCAATAGAAAAGGAAATTCAATAAAAACAGAAGTTGAATAAAAATAGAAGTGGAAACTGCATAAAATTGAACTTGGAAATTCATTCAAGAAACCGCTATACCTAAACGATCTATTTGGAAATTCAATTAAAAAGGAAATTGAATGGAGATGGAAATTTAATAAAAGTAGAAGTGGAATAAAAAAAGAAATGGAAACTGCATAAAATTAAATATGGAAGTTCATTCATGAATTGGAAATTAAATAAAAAAAGGAAATTGAATAGAAAAGAAAATTGAATAAAAATCGAAGCTGAATAGAAATAAAAATGGAAGTTACATAAAATTAAAAATGAAAGTTCATTCAAGAAACCACTATACATTAACGATCTATTTGGAAATTAAATATAAAAAAAAATTGAATAGAAAAGGAAATTGAATAAAAATGGAAGTGGAATAAAAATAAAAATGGAATTGAATAAAATTTAGAATGGAAATTCATTCAAGAAACCACTACACCTTAACGATCTATTTCGAAATTAAATAAAAATAAAAATTGAATGGAGATGGAAATTGAATAAAAATAGAAGTTGATTAAAAATAGAAGTGGAAATTGCATAACATTAAACATGGAAATTCATTCAGGAAACCACTATACCTTAACGATCTATTTGGAAATTAAATAAAAAAGGAAACTGAATGGAGATGGAAATTTACTAAAAATAGATGTTGAATAAAAATAGAAATGGAAACTGCATAAAATTGAACATGGAAGTTCATTCAAGAAACCACCATACCTTAACGATCTATTTGGGAATTAAATTAAAATGGAAATTGAACGGAGATGGAAATTATACCTTAACGATCAATTCAGAAGTTAAATAAAAAAGAAAATTGAATAGAGAAGGAAATTGAATAAAAATGGAAGTTGAATAAAAATACAAATGGAAGTTACATAAAATTAAGAATGGAAGTTCATTCAAGAAACCACTATACCTTAACGATCTATTTGGAAATTAAATAAAAAGGGAAATTGAATGCAGATGGAAATTGAAGAAAAATAGAAGTTGAATAAAAATAGAAATGGAAACTGCATAAAATTAAACATGGAAGTTCATTCAAGAAACTGCTATACCTTAACGATCTATTCGGAAATTAAATAAAAAAGGAAAATAACAGAAAAGGAAATTGAATAAAAGTAGAAGTTGAATTAAAACAAAAATAGAAGTTGCCTAAAATTAAAAATGGAAGTCTATTCAAGAAACCACTATACCTTAACGATCTATTTGGAAATTGTTCAAAAAAAGGAAATTGAATAGAAACGAAAA